TTCTTCTTCTTCTTCTTCTTCTTCTCTTCCTCCTCCTCCTCCTCTTCCTTTTCTTCCTCCTGTTTTCCTCCTTCCTCCTCTTCTTTTCCCTCTTCTTCTCCTTCTCCCTTATATCTTCCTTCTCCTTCTTCCTTTTTCCTCCCCTTCCCTCCTTCCTCTCTTCTCTTTTTCCCTCCTCTTTTCCTTCTTCCTTCTATCTTTCTTCTTCCCCTTTCCTCCTCTTTTCCTCCTTCCTTCTCTTTTTCCCCTCCTCTTCTTCTTCCTTATATCTTTCTTTGCTTGCTTTTTCCACTTTGAACCGGGCCTCTTTAGAAAGTCTGCAAAACATTGACCTCTTGGCTTACTACTCCGCCATGAAAGATTCTGCCAGCCGGGAAGCCAAGTTTTTGAAGCTTTCTGCTGGGACCTGAGCTCAGGATCTGGAGAATCCAAGGAACTTTGCGAACGGCGAAATTTCCTCTTTTTTTTTTTTTTCCACCCCACAAAAAGGCTTTTGTGTCGACAGCTGGCTGTGCGACGAGGTTATTCTGTTGGGCGGGTTGATGGTTGGCCAATCCAATGAAGCATCCGGTAGGGAAAAAGACCCCGAGGCGTTGGTCCTTCCACTGCACAGCAAGGTTTAAGGGGTGATAGTGCAGCCTTTCACCCCCACCCCCTCGACTTAATTGGCCCTGGTCGGGGATGGGCATTGGCTGTTCTTGGCCTGATTTCAAAACCCGTGTAAGGGAACAATTTGGACTTTTGGTGAGAGCTATCTGCCCTTCCCTGAAGCTTGGGAAAAAGAGAATCATCTCAGAACAGAACAGAAGAAGAAAGGAAGGGAAAGGAACAAGGGGGAAGGAAGGAAGGAAGGAAGGAAGGAAGGAAGGAAGGAAGGAAGGAAGGAGGAAAAAGAGGGAATGAGAAAGGCAGGGAGGAAGGGAATAGGGAAGGAGGAAAGAAGGAAAAAGAAAAGGGAACAAGGAAGGAAAAAAGAGAAGGAAAGCGGGAGCGAAGGAAGGAAAGTGTCAGGATTCTCTAAAAGACCATAAAATTATTTTATGAATTGACGGAAGGAGGGAAGAAAAGAGGGAGGGAGGGAGGGAGGAAGGAAAAAGGGAATGAGAAAGGCAAGGAGGAAGGGAAAGAGGGAGGGAGGAAAAAGAAGGGAATGAGGAAGGAAGGAAAAAAGGAGAGAAGGAAAGCGGGAGGGAAGGAAGGAAAAAGAAAAGGGAAGGAGGGAGGAAGGAAGGAAGGAAATGTCAGAATGCATCCATGATCACTGATTCCTCAACCTCATTAAGTCCACCTATCTTTGCTCATCCTCATCCTCTCCATAGCTTACTCCTGAGTAGATGCTACACTCAAGAGCCACCCCCACAAAAATGACTGCCCAACCTCTGGAATAATTCCTCTTATATTTTCTCTTTTCATGATCTTCTGGATAATTCAAAATTTATACACTGCCCAGAGTTGCTCCCAACAGTGAGATAGATGGTCTATAAATCTCACAACATAAATTCCCAAAGCTGCTGCCGTTTCTTCTTCTTATGGGACCTGTAAGCTACGATGTTGGAGCGTTCAGAAGTGTCCCACACACTTGAACCGAACGTGGGTCTGAAAAGGCACCGCCAGATGCCTTCCGATGTTGATCTCCTTCCATAACTCAACACAGGTTGTCTCAACAGGACACTCATTTTGCGATACCGTTCTTCTAAAGCAGGGGTCCCCAGACTTGGCAGCTTTAAGACTTGTGGACTTCAACTCCCAGACTTCTCCTGCCAACCATGTTGGTGGGGGAATTATGGGAGTTGAAGTTCCACCTTGATCTTCAAGCTGGTTTATATCATCCAGAACAGGGGTCTCCAAACTTGGCAACTTTAAGACTTGTGGACTTCAACTCCCAGAATTCCCCCCACCATTATGGCCGGCAGGGGAATTTTGGAAGTTGAAGTCCCACCTAGTTCTTCAAGCTGATTTATATCATCCAGAGCAGAGCAGAGATTGCAGAGGAAGGGGTTACAAGAGAGTAAGCTATGCTGGCTGGAGAATTCTGGGAATTGAAGTCCACAAGTTTTAAAAGTTGCCAAGTTTGGAGGCATCTGTTCTAAAGACACCGTTGGCCTTCTCAAGAGACTTGACCTGCTCTTTTTTTTTTTTTCCAGTTGGAAAGACGGTCTTGCTTTTAACGCCTTGATCCACAGACACCGACCAGAACTCATTGAATATGACAAGCTCAGAAAGGTATTTGGGCGGGTTTGACATTATAGCCTTTTTACTCCTTGGTTTTGAAATATTCTCCACCTTACCCCGAGTGAACTCACTTTTTTCCCCTGCAATTCCAGATGTAGTGGGTTGAGTGGGGCCTGGGGATCAAATCCCAATTCTGCAATAATAATAATAATAATAACCTGGGTTACTTTAGGCCAGTGTTCCTCAACTTTGACCATTTTAAGATGGCTGGACTTCCAACTCCTAGAATTCTCTATCCAGCTTTGTCTTTCCATGGTCAGAAGTAGTGTTAGTCAACTTTAGCCATGGGTGGACTTCAACTCCCAGAATCCCCTAGCCAGCTTTTCCTTTGCTTTCCTTTGTTTTGCTGGCTGGGCAATTCTGGGAGTTGAAGTCCACCCCTCTTAAAGCGGCCAAAGTTGAGAAACACTGCTCTAGGCTAAGTCATCATCTCCAGCCTGAGCTTCTCGACCAAGAAAAAGGAATTTGACCTTGACCGATCACAAGATCAAGATTTAGTCCATGATTGTGGACTAAATCCAGACCAAATCACGGGCGCCAGATCCGAAACTTCATCAAGTTGGTTCTAATGTGGAATGGGGTCCCCCATGTGCGTTAAAACGGTAGAGAATCCATAATTTGTGGGTGGTCAATTTTTAGAGCAGGACTTCAAAGATGCCTCGTTGCATTTTTTTCCCACGGGAATATTTCGTATTTGGAAGCTGTAGGAAAGCCAAGGCGTTTGGCATAGAAAATCAGGCAGGGCTGGCGATTGTGAGAAGCCGGGGACAGTGCCTCTTTAGGACAGTGCCACCACGTTTGAAATCCTCTCTGGTGATTTCCCTTTTCCGTAGGACGATCCAGTCACGAATCTGAACAACGCTTTTGAGGTCGCGGAGAAATACCTTGATATTCCCAAGATGTTAGATGCAGAAGGTAAGCCAGAGGTCGAGGCCCTAATATATCTTGGGGTCCCGTTTTGTTCCACAAATCTACGAATCCACAAGGCAGAGGTTACAATAGCATTTGAACGAAGCCAGCTGGATAAACCTGGCGCTGAATGGTGCTTATATACCACTTCATGGTGCTTCACAGCCCTCTTTAAGCGGTTTACAAAATCAGCATCAAACTTGACAGCTTTAAGACTTGTGGACTTCAATTCCCAGAATTCCTCCTCCTTCAGTCATGTTAGCTCAGGGATTCTGGGAGTTGAAGTCCACAAGTCTTAAACTTGCCAAGTTGGAAGACTCTTGACTTACGACCACAACTTTTGTTGTTGAATGTTCTGACCCAAGCCTCGTTCAAATCTAATAAATACAAAATATATATGTAAAAGCAAAACTTTTTAATGCCCCTCTGTGAATTCTGTTCATTCACAGCAAAGAATCATTAAAACTAATTGTCCCAGATAAGAGCAAGCCCTTTTGAGGTTACGAAAGGCTGCCAAGAATACAAGATTAATTGCAGATAACTATCCCAAGCCAGAAGTTTCCAAAAACAAACCTGGAGTAAGCAGGCCTTCAACGAGGACTCTGAGCATAAAGAACTTCTTTGCTTCCTGCAAAGAAGCCAACCCCAAAGGCTGGCTTTTATCCCTTGGGGAGGGACCATCACTTTCCAGCCTTACTCCTGGAAAGCACGCGCACTGGGAACAGGCTGCCAGACTCCACAACCTCCGAAGGCAGCACCCCACTCTCCCGACGGCCCTGGCCCCATCCCTGCATCACATGCAGGCCCCTTGTCCGAGTCCTCACTGTCAAGAGACCTCAGCCGTCCGCACCTGCTGCCGGCAAACCACAACGTTGAGTGAGACATTTGTTAAACAAATTTTGCCCTGTTTCACAGCTTTTCTTACCATGGTTGTTAAGTGAAACATATGGCCGTTCAGCAAGTCAGGTTACCCCCCCACACACACACACAATTTGACCATCTGGGAAGGTCACACTTGGCAATCATATGATCCCACCATAAATACACGCTGGTTGCTAAATGCCTAAATTTAGGTCATCCGATGGGGTTGCTGCTACAGTCATAAAAATGGAACTCGGGGTTTTTTTTCAACGCCATTGTAATTAATGGTTGTAAGTGATCTGTCTCTCAACGAAACACAGTTCTCATATTTCTATGGACTCTGTTTCATGACCTGAGCTAAATGTACTGGCTAAATGTCCAGAATATATATATATATATTTTTAGAAACAGCTATTTTAAAAACAGGTTGAAAGACTTCAGTGGAATTCGGAAACAATTCCTTAAGGCTTACAACTATACAGATTTGCAATTATCTGTTTGAGATACACGAGTAGGAAGAATACGACTTGAAAACAAGTAATTTCCGAATAATGCTTTGGAGTCATTTTTAATTTTTTCTTCTTTATATCCACAGTCACGTCCTCTCTCTTTTTACTCAATGATTTGTATCGAATTTCATAGCAACAACAATAATAGAAATGTAAATGCCAAAAAAAAAACCATGTTAATCAAATTTGTATGGCCGCCTATCAGGTTCCAAGCAACCTGCTCCAGCTGTGAATAGTCAAAGTCCGTAACTTTATTGCCTCCCACCTATGTTACAAGAATCCCTCCATGTTGCTTGCCTTCCTCTGGGAAGAACCAGATAAGGTTTCATGGATCTGGGTGGGGGTGGAGTCAAGCTTTACGCTATTTTGCAGCTGTGCCAACAACTCCAAGCTAGGTCCCTACTTGACCCTTCCCTCCGGCCTAGCTGGCAGTTTCCCAGCATTGCCCGTGTCACGGAAAGGGATCTTGCAGAAGATTATAGCGCAACTCTGGAATTCCCGCTGTGATAGAAGAATGCAAGGAATTGCCGTTATATGCAAGCTTCGTGGTCTTCCAGCAGGCATTTTTGAGTTATGGGCAGGAAATGCGATACAAATCTTGGATAAGCATCCCAGCTTGTACGCTTGGACAGGCAGCTAACCTCCCATGTCAAGTTCTTCTGGATTTTTAGGCATTAACTTTTTTTTTTTTCCAAGCTGGATTGTTGCCCGTGATCCCTTGGAGATGACTGCCAATGACATGAGTTTGGGAGAGAGAGTTGTTTCTGGTGTGTTTAATACTTCTCGTTCGCTTTTCAGACATCGTCAACACGGCCCGTCCTGATGAGAAGGCTATTATGACCTATGTCTCCAGCTTCTACCATGCCTTCTCTGGGGCGCAGAAGGTACCAGAGACGGACGGCGGGGGGTTTTTTTTCCCCCCCATTAACCGCTTCTCTTCTTCCCAGCATCCTGGCTTCCTTTGACTTCCCTTGGAGAGGGCCGCCGCTTGGAGCCACCTGGGAACCCAGATCTCAGCTAGTTCAGGACAAGCTTTAGAAAGGCCCAGGGCAGAATGTCTACGGAGGTTCACCTTCCTCCTGGTCATGGTTGGGTGTCCCAAAGAGGCAAAACTGGACTTTCTTGTTTGTCCCTGAAGACATTTCACTTCTCATCCAAGAAGCTTCTTCAGCTCGGACTGGATGGCGGGGATTTATGCTCCTTGCAGACCGCTGGCCATTTGCGTCCTTGTAGAGGGTCGCTGAGGTCATTTGGAGATTTATGTGTGTCCTCAGGGTTACCTGAGGATGCAAATGGTCCCTATAGCCTGCAATTTTCCTAGAAATCCGTTCCTACTCCCACACCGTTCAAAGGGTGTTTATCCCAAATTGCATAGCTAGAAGTCTGTAAAGATTCTCAGTCCTCCAGGTCGTGGTTGTCCCAAAGGTGCTTTTTTCAAAAGGCAGCTGGACTTTCTGGTTTTTTTCTTTGAAGACGTTTCGCTTCTTGTCCCTAGAAGCTTCTTCGGATGGTGAGGAAGGCTCCACACCCCATTGGCATGAATCAGGTGAGCCCGAGAGCACAGATAAACCTCCAAGTGGCCTCAACGATTCTCTAAAAAGGATGCAAATGACCACTTGTCTGCAAGGAGCATCAATCCTTCTGTTCCCCAACATCCCGTCAGAGCTGAAGAAGCTTCTTGGATGAGAAGCGAAACATCTTCAGAGAAAAACAAGAAAGTCCAGTTTTGCCTCTTTGGAAAAAAAAAATAAAAAGCAACTTTGGGACACCCAATGCAGGAAAAAAAAAATAAGGACCGCTTTTCCAAAAATCGCCCTAAGTCCCTTTTGGGGGAGAGGCTGGAAAATGAGGCTTGACCTTGTCATACATGGAGGCTACCTGAGGAGAAACCTTGAAAAGGTTTTACGACAGTAAGACCAGGACTCTCCGACCGACCAAACTCCAAAACTCATCGAAATTCATTTTCCCCC